GGAAGGGGTAAATTCCGCAGCTGAAGGTGGACAAAGGTAGTGTTTCTTTGGCAGCAGAAAGTAAGTAATTTTTGTTTGGCAAAAAGGGATGCTTGCATTTGCACAGACATTTGGATTATGAGAAGCAGCCCTAGCAGAAATGAATGAATGGACAGTGTGCAGGTGAAGGCTGAACACACATCAAATGGCTCTGAAATGTGTAAAACGATTGTCCTCAGATACGATGCAGTCCCATATTGCATGCATTTAGCTTTCTGGAAGTGATGAGTCATACGGACCCAAATGAGAATACCCATGTGTGTAAAATTAAGATTTGAGTATTTACAATGATATCACCACAGCAGTTCAGATCAGTCTAGCGTTTTAAACTTCAGCATTTTCTTCCTGGGAGACATCACTAAGGTTTAAAAGCATTGGCAAGCCTGGAGGGAAAGTATTTAATTTTTAAACAAATAAGATTTTACTATCATCAGCTCCTGACAGAAATACCTAATTAGTATATCTTTTGTTTATAATGATATAGTATATCCTCTGTTTATAAAGACAGATAGTACATCTCAGATGTGCATGAGTAACAACAGAAAGTTTTAAATATTTAATATGTATAAATTACTGCATTATTTTTATTCCAAAACTGATGTCATTCTAGAGCCTTATTCAGGGCCATTTGAGAATTTCCGTTTGGGGCATTTTGAAGTATCTGAGAAAAACATTTCTATCTGAAAGTTCCTGGAAAAAGACATTATAGATCCCAGGGCTAATATGCATCTAGAGATTGTGGGAGATGCTCATAAATCAAAAGAAACGAAGAGCTGGAACGTCCATTCAGTTCAACTGATGTTAGGAGTACTCAGCACCTCTGAAAATTAGCTTGCTTGCCAGGTGCCTAAATAAGGATGGATTGGTGCTTTGAAAAATGTGAGCTTAATAAGTCAGTTTTGTAAATGTACAGCAATGTTTGCTAAAACATTTCCATCACACACCACAGTCAGGGAGGAAATAGGATGTCTGGAACAACTGCAGGTTATGCCTCTAGGCTTGACCCTGACACACACTGCATCTGGGGGCTTGCAGGGTTGGATTCCCGGCTTTTCCAGAGCTTTGTTAAGCTCAGTGGTGCACAACAGCCTGCGACTCGTTGTCATTTTCAGGACTGGAGGCCAAGCTGATGTTGTTATTAATGGAGAGCCTTTTCTCCATATGGAAGGCTCTCCTTCTAGGAAGGTTTCAAACACAGCAACCAGCTCTGTTCTGCTCTTCCAGTGCTCTTGTACAATTAGAGTGGAACAGTCGGGAGCCTCTTTCTCTCTTTGCTAACACAAGTACCGAGGAGGGTTCTGCAAGACCCGTCAGTGAATGTTGCAGTCCAGGCATATGCTACGGCAAATTGCAATCACTTTGAAAGCAAGTGATTTCAGTGGGGACTTCTTCAAAACACATGGTGTGGTGTGGTCTTTGGCACTTAGATCTTGCCCTACTTCACGCAGGGAAAAAAATCAGGAAAATTAAAATAAAACAAATTTAGATTAATGTAATCTCAGAGTTATGAATGTATATGCTCAAACTTCAGGAAATTATTTTTTTCAGCCTTATATCAACTCAGCTGTTTTGCATATGTTTGCCTTGGTTAGTTCTGCTCTGTTTTGGGGCATAGATGTTAGTATGTTTTTAATATTTGTTTCATCTATCTGAGATTTACAATTGATATGTATACTTTAATACTTTTGATAACATATAATATTTGTCTCCTAAATCTCTGGGACGGTGGCCATCAACCCATTCTTGTGTTGGTAAAGCTAAGTTTATGTACATATGTACATGTGTATGAAAATATGCGTAAGTGTGGATCTTATTTTGTGACTATGGCTCCTTGGTGCAATCTGTAGGTATAGAACCTATTTAACAGGATTGTATTATACACCGGGGAGGATGACTGTTACGAGAAGACTCTAGCTCTGCCCATGCCCAGCCTTGGAGGACCAAAGTTCCACAGAACGGCAGAGGCTGGCAGGCTCCTCTGGAGAGGGTCTAGTCCAGCTCCCTGCCCAGGGCTGGGCCAGCTACAGCAGGCACTCAGGGCAATGTCCAGTCAGGTTTTTAACATCTCCACAGATGGAGACTCCAGGGTCGTTAAGGACAACCTGCTTCAGTGTTCTACCACTAAAGGCATTTTTTTCTTACATTTAAATGGAATTTCCTGTGTTTCAGTTTGCCTTGAGCCCCGTCAGTTGGCACCACTGAGAAGAGCCTGGCTCCATCATCTTTACTCCCCCCATGAGGTATTTATGTACATGGATTAAGATTCCCCCCTGCGAGCCTTCCCTTCTCCGGGCTGAACAGCCCCAGCTTTCGGCCTTTCCTCCCATCAGGTGTTCAAATCTGTTCATCACCTCTGCAGTCCTGCATTTCTGCCTTTAGGTCCAAATTCATCACACCTAATGGAAGCTGTGCACCCCTCAAGACAAAGCTTTTGGCAGAGGTGCTGCCTCCTGCCAGGGGTTGGGTGGCGATGGGGCAGTGGCAGGGACCGCTCCACTACGGCCGCCCCAACGGCCGCCCACAGCCC